AAAACCACCAAAAAAAGTGGTTTAACTAATAGTGATGCTTCAGCACTATACTCTGTTGCTTTTGGCTATTTTTATACCAAAAACTATGTGGGTGAGCATTTTGGGATTTTTAGTTTTTATCTTTTTGTTTGATGTTTTTAAATTTTAATTTTTAATTTTCAAAACTTCATTTTAACACGAATAAGAAGGAGGGGGGGGTGGGGGGGGGGGGGTGCAAATTGAAAGTTTGTCCCCGGGCGCAGGGAAGGGTCGCTACGCTTCTGAGGCTTAGACATAAACTGCAAAACACTGAATTGGGATGTAGAAAATGGATGCCACAAAAATTTAGGAGGAATCTTGCAGCTATTCCCAGCTAGGTCCTTGAGAGGCTGACCTTGGACTTAGAGACCAGAGAAGGTCATGCCCTGTATACGCAATCATATTTGTACCAGGGGCGTAGCGAGGGGGGGGGGGGCGGGGGTGCGGACCGCACCGGGTGACACCATTTAGGGGGGTGACACCAAGGCAAAAAATAGCAAAATATGTAGAGAAAAACTTGAGGGGGGGGGGGGTGCAAATCAAAAGATTGAGGGGGGGGGGGTGCATATCGAAAGTTTGTCCCTGGGAAGGGTCGCAACGCCTCTGGGGGGGTGACACCCGACCTCACTACGCCATTGATTTGGACAAGGTCCTAAAAACTCTTCAAAGAATGACAGATCAACAACATGCTTACCAGCCCTCTTTCAGTGAAAATCTTGAATAAAATAATTTTGTAGGCTTTCAATTGAGATTTTTTTTCAAAGTTATTGATTGGATAATCAATAAAAAGAATAGCCTCAAACTGAAAAGATTGAAATCATATAGTGGATTTTATCAAGCAATTTCTTTGACTTTCAATGTCACCTCTCACATCAACATCTACATCTTGTTAAATTTCATCAACAGCATGTTCTGACGCTGCTACCATGACCAACCAAACTTTAATAACAAGGTGAAAACTACACAGTTGGATCAATAATTTTACTTATCATATTTTAAATTCTTTTTTTTACAGTGTGAAGAAAAACATCTAGGGAAAAAAAAAAACAATACTGAAAATAAATAAAATGTATAAGCCCCTTTTCGAAGCAATACACTTAGGTTTTATGTACACAAACCTGTAATCAAAAAGTATACATTTCTGCATTCTAAACATTATTAAAAAAAAAAGAATTGAAAATCAAAAGATAAATACATACAATTCGATTTACCTATTTCGACAAATTTGTTTGAGCTAAAATAATTTAAAACTTCCAGCCAGACTTTTCATCCAAAATTAAAACAATCATCAAAAAACAAATCACAGCCAGTTCTACTTAATATCAATGTAAAATATTTGACCAGAATTTATATGGCAATTCAGTTCATAGATAAGCTTAAAGGATACTAGAATGTTAAACGAAACAAAAATAATTGAAAAAAATAAAATATACCGTATAAGCTTTGAAAAGAAAAATAAATGTTCTTAGGTCATCAAAAATAAAGGCTAATTCAATTCAAACATCTATATGTATAGACACTACAACTTATAAAACAAACCACTGTAAACATACGGAATACAAACATGTTTTTAGTTTATGTGCAAGTGTTATATGAAAAAGTAGTGTTTATGTGAGGACAATAGGTAACAGACCATACAAGAAGAAATGGTTTTAAAAAGAATCATGAGAAAAATAAATGGAACAAACAGTATGATGTTGGTAGTAATTTAAATCAATGTGTAAGAAAAAAAATGACAAACTTTCATTTATTCAAGGGACACTATGGGAGGCAGGGTGTATGGGGTGGGATAATTTTATGATATTCCTATGTGGGGTCATCCTTTAAATGGGGTCACAGGGTGCAGAGTGTACCCCACCCCACCCTCGTCAAGCTATTGTTTTTTCTTCTGTGTGGTAATATTTTTCTTTACCATTTAGTTAACTTGATGGCGATGTGCTCAAATGTTAAAAGAAGTCAACTTTTAAACCTATTTTAAATTATTGTAGGGCCTTAATTAATTAATTAATGAGATTGATAGGCTATACAGGAATAAAAAGTATGTGTATGTTGACTAAAACAGCAGTCTTAAAAATGTGTTCATTAATCACCAATATGCATGCATTACAATTTTGTATTACTAACCAGGACAATTCTTAAGTCACTGCTACTCCTGAAATCAAATAGGACTAAACTCTAATTGCCCCCCCCCCTCATCACATTCATTCAGAGTTTCTTCCAGGGCTTCGCCCCCCCCCCCCCCCGAACGAAATGAAATTTATATAATTTATATAAAAAAATATATACTTTTGACAGTGTCCCCCCCCCCCCCCCCCGAAGAGAAAATCTACCGCCCCCCTGAAATTTTCAAGTGCCCCCCCCCCCCCTGGAGAAAAAAGTCTGGAAGAAACACTGCATTCATTACATGGACTTAATTCTCACCTTCAGCCGTCAACATGACATGAATTCTAAACAGTTTAATAAAGTTAATAGTTAAGTCTTAAGTCCGTAACCCCTGGCAGTTGAGGCTTAGTTTGATAGCTGGGGACAGCAACCCACCTAGGAGAGAAAACTCCAAAAAACCAAACAACTGCTGCCTTGGATGGACAAACTAAGGTTATGGAAGCTAACTAATCTAGAAAACTCTGCAAAAAGAAAAGCTCAGCCACAGCCATCTTACACAGATGCGTAGCGACACTTCCCGGCGCCCGGGGACAAACTTTCAATTTGGCGCCCCCCTCGGGAACAACCTTTCAATTTTCAATCTGCACTATTGCACCACCCCCCTCCCCTCAAACTTTCAATTTGCACCCCCTCCCCCCATATATTTTTTATATTTATAATGCAAAACTGCATCTCAAATCAGATTTTAATTTATTTTTACAAAGGTCGGCACCCCCCTGGGACATATGTACCCCCACCCCTCCCTCGCTACGCCTCTGATCTTACAAAATATGTGGTCAAGTAACAGATTTAGATCTAGATCTAGTTAGTAATTTGTGTTGGAGGAAATCACTTCTAACACAACAATTAAGAGAGATCTCCAGCATATTTGAACTTAATGCAGATTGAGGTTTCAATTCAAATGTTTACAAGCGCCCATAGTCAACCCAACCTAGCAGGTAAGACTTAAGAATTCTTTTACCTAGCAGGTAAGACTTAAGAATTCTTTTACAGTAAAGTTTTCAAATATTTGTGTACAGGTCAGGTTACCTAAGCCAAGGGACATCACCTTCATTCACTCAGTCAAGGGACATAACTGTTAAAAATGTGTCACAATAAAATTACACCAAGTAAATTTTGCAATGAAAATACAACTACATCAACATGATAATCCAATAAAATAAAAGTTAAAAAATCCCAGTTAAATATTTATCTCATTTTTTTACAAATTACATAATGTAACTTCCATATCACAGTACATGATGAGTGGGAATCGATTTAATCTTCTTCCTTAGGAACTATTCACAAAGGGTTGTTTAAAATATACAATTATTTGTGTCAGTTCTGCACTAAAAACTAACATTTACAACAAAAGTTGTGTGCTCAGCTTATAAACATGTTTAAAATAAACCTAGCTAGTTTTTTTTTGTTTTTAAAAGTAAGCCATAAAAGAGTTAATCCTCAATTATTTATTCAAATAGTTCAAGAATAAACTTTTAAATATGTTTTTGTGCATATTTTCTAAACGAGAACCAGATAAATTCAACCAAAGTTAACAGTAACTTTTTATACTACATTGGTTGGAGTGCAGCTTTTATCAAATTTAGACAAACTTAATTCTGTGCATGAAAATGTGTACAATATACAATATTTGGTGACAGTTTGGTGTGTATGGTGGAAAGCTTAGAAATTCTGTAAAGCTGTTTTCAAAATTATTACAATTACATTTTACAGTTTTAATTGATTTAAAAAAGTGTAGTCTAAAAATTGGAATAAAAAAATTCCCCTCTAATGTAATTTTATTTTTAAAAAAAAACAGGAATTATTAACCACGGTCAGAATATATAAATGGAAATCTAACATCTATTTTAATTGTCAGAATAATCTAAAACAAACAGCCATCCTAATTTCCAGAAGTTAAATTTTTTTTCTATCTGAATCATAATGTCATATCCAGTATATTAAATATATTTTTATCCATTTATTTTATCGGATTGTACTAGCCATTTTCAAAAAAATTAAATGTATTTTTAAAGGAATAAAAAACACAGAGCCAGAATATTTAAATTTTTTACGGGAATCTAAAAGCCATCTTATACTGAAGGCACCGTTAACATAAAATCCATTCATTGTTCACCAGTGCATACACAATTGCTAGCTAATGCACATTGTCAAAAAAAAAATGTATGTATGTAAACATCCATATAAAAATTAAAGGTTAATAAATGGAACTTAACAGGAAAACATGTTATATTAAAGAAAGTAAATAAAAGCCAAAATCTAGTAATAATTAGGTATGATATGTGCATTTGTATTTAACATCATTGGAGAAAAGTGAATAACTAAATTTGTGGGTAAATGAAAAATGACATTTGATCTCACACATTTGTTTTTCAACATTAACTACCATTTCATGTTTCACATTTATTTGTATCTACAATATATTTCCAATCCATGTTTTTTTAAATAAATCACAGGGAAAGTGACATTTGAAAAGCTCTCCTTATGGCAAAGTAATTTTTTTATAATCTTATGCATTCATTTAGCCCATAACAGTTTAACTTAAACATGGGTAAGTGAAAAAAAAAATCATTCATGGAATACTGAATTTTAATTTGGTATAAATCTTTGGAAAATATAATCATAAGCAAACAATATTGTACCTTAACTGGAAAAAAGATGTGAAAAAAACTGTATATCTTTTGATTAAAAAGTAATAATTTTGTATTGTATTTTGGGTGTATTCTTCACGAACGCTATAAAATTAAATTTGGAATTAAAAAATTTAATATTATAATTTAAAAAATGGCTAAAATGGTTACCAAGTAGGCCCTATTGTTATTTCTCAACAAATTAAAATAAAAATTTACTTTTCAGTTCATTTACCTAAATTTTGCAAACACAGACAGGTTTTTCATGTTTATAATACAATCTTGCTGCATGATATTTAAATCTATATTCAAGAATCGCCCTTAGTTAAACCCCTGACTAACCTGGCCAAAACTATGCCAGTCAACCCCTCACAGTCAAGGTTAGGGGGGAGGAGAAAAAAAAACAGGGCAGTGCTAGAAGAGTGAGTCCAGTGAGGTCAAATCAGCAACCAAATTTCTAAGCGAGGGCAGCGCCGTCAATGTTTGGATGGGGATGAACTTTTATCCGCGGATTCGGGGGGCGCCGACTGCGCCGGCTGGTTGCATCCCTGCTGTTGGATATTGTATGGTGAGTCCTTTTCTCCGAGGAGCCAGTAGGTTGTAATGGCACCTTTACCCTGTTGTTATAGAAAGAGAAGACAACTCTGAATTACATGTAAAAAAAAAAATTAACAATTATTTTGCTTTAAAAAGTTGAACTTTAGGTACTGATCAACATTCCCTCTAAAGGAAGATTATACAAGGATATATGTATGTATTTGGCAAAATGAATGCTCGATAGTTGAAAATACTTCATGGCAGCCTTAAGCAAACACAGGTAGTGATATTTTAAAAAAGAGAAGACTCTCTGACTTACAAGTAAAAACATATTTCTATTTAAAAAATAAACTTTGGGGTGTGATATTAACCAAAGAAAAGAAAAATAATCAAGGAGTTTTCCTCTTTAAAAGTTAAAAACTTTACAAAGTGATTTTAAAAATAACAAATAAAAAGAAGACAACTCCAAATTACATGTAATACATAAAATCTAGAGTTATTTCACTTTAAAAGTTAAACTTTGGGGTAGTGATCTCCCATGATATAAATGTGTGAAATTTAAAAGCCAGAACTTGCCTTCATCTCAACAGCACCTCTCTTCTCCAGGATAAAAGTACCAAACTGTGTTAGTAGCTCTTGGGTGTCAGGGCTCACATGAATCCTGAGTGCTGGAGATTCAGTAACATAGGTTAGGGCATTCATTCTTAGAAGGTTATGGCATTGTTATGTTAATTCAAGGGAGGTTATAATAGCATTTAATTATCAAGGGAGGTGACTGCATTTTACAGTTATATTTTTATTGAGAGGTTCAAGCTACATTTATTATAGGATAGTTAAAGCATTATAAATTAATATGTTAATTCTAGAAAGGTTAAGGCATTATAAATTAATCTGCTGGTTCTAGAAAGGTTAAGGCATTATAAATTAATCTGTTTATTCTAGTATGGTTAAGGCATTATACATTAATCTGTTGATTCTATGAAAGTTAAGGAATTTTGAATTAATTTGTTACTTTCGTTAGATATAAGGATGTATAAAATAATTTAATTATTCTAGGTAGGTTAAGACAGGGGTCGGCAACCTGCGGCTCGCGAGCCGCATGCGGCTCTTTTGATGTCAAGTTGCGGCTCTTCAGCTCGATGCACAAATATTAAAAATTATTTTATTTTATTTTTAGAACTTATAAAAGTATTAGTCTGCAACACTCGGCAATGAAAGATATAATAATTAATATATACAATAAACACTCTATTATATTAGAACGAGCCGGCCCGCGGCATAACATACGCCGCTATTTAGTTGTTTCTAATTTTCAATAATTCATAATTTGTGAATTCGACAGTACCACGCTGACACTGAAAATATTTCTTTAAAACACTATAAGTAGCTCGTTAAGGACCATAACCCCCCCCCCTTCCTTCCCCCCCCTCCCCCCCCCCCCCTACGTTTAAAATCGTTGGCTCTGCTTGTAAACATTTAGAGTGAACACAGCTCACTAAAACCATGTAGGGGTGGGGAGGTAGGGAGAGCGTTTGCAGCTTGTTTTCTAACGGCTCGAAGAAGAGAATTATATATATAGAAGATATTTAGATCAATTACCGTAATATCACCGTTAATCACTCACCGCCTGAGTGTCGAGGACAGAAAGTGGCGCTCTCGTGAACCCGAGTACCACAGGGGCGCCGCATACGGCCCCTAGCTCGGATCAATCATCGAATGTCGTATTGTAGGGTGCTCCTTAAAACTAAGGTAGGCGCTTAGTGCTCGCGGGATAGCCCTGGGCACCCTGCAGAGACACAGGAGAACGCGCCTGATTCGATTTAGTGAGCGACTAAAGCAACACATTGTATCCATAGCCTATCGCGCTGTTTAAAATGAACGTATTGTTGCCCATTGTGTCTATAGTGTATGGCGTTTTTTTTTAAAAAAAAACGTATGCGCCATAGTGCTCGCAGGTGAGCACGGGACGCTTCGGGTTGCGCAAATGACGAGGCGCCGGCGATTGTGCCTGTTGCAGTTTGCCGCTGAATATAGAAGTACCCCTTACACGCTATGCAGAAAGCCCGATTAACGGATGCCAAGTACTACCCAGTGTTTCTTCCGGATTTTTATCTCCGGGAGGGCACTTGAAATTTTCGGGGGGGGGGGGGGGGCGGTAGACTTTCTTCGGGGGGGGGGGGGGGCGGACACTGTTAAAAGTATATATTTTCTATATAAATTATATAAATTTCATTTCGTTCGGGGGGGGGGGGGGCGGTAAATTTTTTTCGGGGAGGCTGGTACTACCATAGCCGCTCTGGAACTCTGGGCGCCAAAACGTGTATGGACAAAAAATGCACTACCCGGGAGCCGCCCATAAGACATTTTTTTCGCAGAAATCTTCTCGGGAGTATTCTCATTTACTCCCCAAAGTTTCATGGCACTCGGATAAACTGTGTCAAACCGCATCCGACTTTTTTTTACAGTATATAGAGAAAAATCGCACCCTCCCGGAGCACCGCCCTTGCGAAATTTAAAAAAGATGATTTTTTTTTGCACAAACCTCCCTTGGAGTGTTTTAATCAACTCCTCCATGACGATTGGAAGAAGGGTGTCAATCTGCAATCGACTTCTATTTTTTGTATACCGTATATAGAGGAAAAGTAAACCCCGCCATGCCTGGGCATCACTATATATATTATATTTATATATATATATATATATATATATATATATATATATATATATATATATATATATATATATATATATATATATATATATATATAATTAAAGATCATAATATTGAAATAAAAATTGTTGGTGGCTCTTTAAAAACTGGGAATTTGCGTAAATTGTAACTTTTGGCTCTTACGTCTCAAAAGGTTGCCGACCCCTGGGTTAAGACATAATAAATTAATCTGTTTATTCTAGGTAGGTTAAGGCATTATAATTTAATCTGTTTATTCTAGGAAGGTAAAGGTATAATAACTTAATCTGTTAGTTCTAGTTAATTCTTAGTCAATGTTTTGAGAAAAGTGTTGGCTTACAATATTTTCCTATTTTGAACTTGGGACTCAATTTTAAAAATTTAATATTTGAATCTACCTACATGAGAAGAAAACAAAATTCAATCTTAAAACTGAGTGTTTGCTTACGCATTCCATTAGACTCCATTCTTGAGGATGTGTTAACAGTGTCACCAAAGAGACAGTACCTCGGCATCTTGAGACCCACGACTCCTGCACACACAGGACCTGTGGACAATTTTTTTTTTCTAGAAACTTCTTACTTTTTAAAATTTTAATGGCCTCTTTTAAATCAATGCTTTACTTTACAGATTTATAATAATGACGTCATAAATAAATGTATCCTTATGCGCTTAATGTATGTATATGTATCATGATATATTTATCTCAATATTTTTTTCCCAGTTACGCCGAAACTATGAACTTACCACTGTATATATATATCAATAGTTAAAGTAAACATACTATTGTGTTGCCTATATTTTAATACTTATTTTCAGAGTGAGCTATACAATTCACTATATAATTAGCACTATGCATATGTCTATAATTATTTTAAGTTAAAGTACATAGGACCTACTTATTTAATTGCATACATCAATAACTACTTTCAGTTAAAGTTAAAATTACCATTGTATATGCCAACAAACTACAAACTTACCCCTTTTATAAATGAAAATTTTTTTACGCTAAAGTACAAAATTGATCACTTTTATTATTTTCTGTTAAAGTTAAGTAGGCTACATAAAAATGTGCTTAAGTCAATAACTACTTTCATAAAAAAAAACCAAGCTTAGCAATGTTTAGGGCTCTATGGCAAAAATTATTTCTGTGCAACATTACTACTGTGTAGGCCTTGTAAGTCAAAAATTATTCCCGTACAAACTTGTATGTCAAAAATTATTTCCGTACAAACTTACCACTGTGTAGGCCTTGTATGTTAAAAATTATTCCTGTACAAACTTGTATGTTAAAGATTATTTCCCATACAAACTTACCACTGTTTAGGCCTTGTATGTTAAAAATTATTTTGTTACAAACTTACCACTGTTTAGGCCTTGTATGTTAAAAATTATTTTGTTACAAACTTACCACTGTGTAGGCCTTGTATGTTAAAAATTATTTTGTTACAAACTTACCACTGTGTAGGCCTTGTATGTTAAAAATTATTTTGTTACAAACTTACCACTGTGTAGGCCTTGTATGTTAAAAATTATTTTGTTACAAACTTACCACTGTGTAGGCCTTGTATGTTAAAAATTATTTTGTTACAAACTTACCACTGTGTAGGCCTTGTATGTTAAAAATTATTTTGTTACAAACTTACCACTGTGTAGGCCTTGTATGTTAAAAATTATTTTGTTACAAACTTACCACTGTGTAGGCCTTGTATGTTAAAAATTATTTTGTTACAAACTTACCACTGTGTAGGCCTTGTATGTTAAAAATTATTTTGTTACAAACTTACCACAGTGTAGGCCTTGTATGTTAAAAATTATTTTGTTACAAACTTACCACTGTGTAGGCCTTGTATGTTAAAAATTATTTTGTTACAAACTTACCACTGTGTAGGCCTTGTATGTTAAAAATTATTTTGTTACAAACTTACCACTGTGTAGGCCTTGTATGTTAAAAATTATTTTGTTACAAACTTACCACTGTGTAGGCCTTGTATGTTAAAAATTATTTCCCGTACAAACTTACCACTGTGTAGGCCTTGTATGTTAAAAATTATTTTGTTACAAACTTACCACTGTGCATGCCAATCCTCAACTTGAGCTGGTCACCTGGCCTGTGTCTAATCTTGAATTTAAATACATTATGTAGCAAAGCCAAGGACATCCTGGCAATCTCTCTGGCGTGAAGGTTGCCGTTCTTGACCGGCAGGCCAGACACCACCATGTAGGCGTCACCGATTGTCTCCACCTGCGGAATTCAGACGGAATTATTTCCTTTTTTTTTAAATTTTGACGGATTTCCTTCAACACATTTAAGAATTAAGTTTTAAAATGTCATGTGACATGTTGACTCTGATTTCAGCCTGCTTTTCTTTCTGGATTTGCTTCCATGGCACTTGTACAACAAAGAACAAAATACAAGCCAATGGTTGTTAGAGTTGTCTCTCTTTAATGAGTTGCTTTTCCCAGTTATTGAGCCTTATCTGCCTAGAGGTTTGAACTCAAGACTTTTTGGTTTAGCAACCACAAGCTTTACCAAACTGACCACGCCAACCCCTATTTTCTTTAAAACTTTGTAACTTTACAACTTTTGTGAAGTTATTTATCCGTTAAATATGTTAATGTGTGTAAAAAACAAGGCAAACATCTTCATTAAATTTTAGAGCTAAATAGTTGTGGTTACCTTATAGACATCAAAATTTTCAATAATTGAATCAAAACAGGTGTACAGGTCATTTAGTAAATCAACAACCTGAAAATGAAAATAAATTTTTTAGAATATTTATTAAAAGTTCGTTAATAATCTAGCCTGGAAATTTTTTCAAGTATTTAATAATAACTTTTGGATATGTTGATGTTGTAGAAAATAAAGATGGTAATACATGTGTAGTAAAGTGGAAACAATCTAGTTGTGTCCATGTCTTGTCAAGAACTACTGGACCATACCAATATGATTTTTTAACCAACTATTGAACAAGCTTTTAATACATTTAAGCTAACACTATAGTATGCAATGTATATATGGCAAATTAACTATTGAAAGTCAGATATGAGGTAGGCTTTATCTATAAAAAAAACTTAACAGTAGCCCATTAAAAGATGTAAATATTTAAACCAAATTTTGAAAAATTGTTGTAAAAAAAATTCGGTAAAACAAAAATATAAAACAAAATTAGTCATTAATATGAAGATTACATAATTGTATGATGGAAAAATGCGTTAAAGACATTTTCAACTCACCTGCATTGGTGTACTCTCAGCTGACATGGCAGTGAACCCGCAGATGTCACTGAAGTAGATGGTGACACCGTCATACCATTCGGCTGACACCGTCTCACCACGTATCAGTTGTGAGGCCACAAATCTACAGGAGAAAATTGTAAACAATATCCTAACGCTTTATCTAATCAATACAAATGTTTAACGCCTTAATCCAGGCCGATGTTGGATTAAGTTTTTTCTTTTTCTTCTTCTTCGTTCTTAATTTTTAGTGTTGGGAGGAATAGAGCCTTATCTGCCAGATGGTTTGAACTCGAGACTTTTTTTTTTCTAATTTATCAACCATGAACTTTTGTCGACTCGACCATGCTTCCATCACAATTAAGGATTACGTGTCAACTGGTTATGCGCCATTGAGGCCATTAAATCCGACTTCAGCCTGCTTTTCTGTTTGGATTTGCTTCCATAGCCTTTGTCCAACCAAGAACAAACTACAAGGCAGCAGTTGTTTGATTTTGGAGTTGTCTCTCCTAGAAGAGAGCTGTCCCCAGCTAACGAGCCTCATCTGCCCGAGGGTTCGAACGTTCTCTGAGTCCACCCAGCTCTGATGGGTACCTAACTTATGTTATGCTGGGCATAGTGCTGACAACACGATCTCCTTATATGCTAAAGTCACATAAAATAGACGATCAAGTTCGTAAAGTGAACTTTACTTTTAAGTTTCAAGATGATTCTGAATAGGCAACACTCAGTTCTAATAGGCAGAGTTTCTTCCAGGCATCATCTCTCCCAGAAGAAAGCCTACCGCCCCTCCCCCCCCCCCCCCCAAACGAGATAGAATTTATATAGTAAAAATATACTTTTACTAGTTTCTGCCCGCTGGAAAATGTTGACCGCCCCCCCCCCCCCAAAAATATCAAGTGCCCTCCCCCCCCCCCTGTAGAAAAAAGTCTGGAAGAAACACAGCTAATAGGTACTTAGCGCTAGTCAGAGATAGTAAATGCAGCCAGCCACTATTTACTGATACCAAAGAAACAGAGGGTCATCTATTCTAGAAGGGGATTTAACTTTTTATTTTTTAAATGTAACAAAGAGATTTAGCTACAGATAGACCAAACAATGTTTTTGTTCTAGGAGTAAAAGCCACATTTGAAAATTATAAATATCATTAAATAACTATTGTCATCTTGTATACAGTACTAATTATAAAGTTTTCTACTTTTTAAATTTCTTTTTACTCCAAATGTTATCTAAAGGACATTTGAAATACATATTTTGTAATAGACTATTTGCTTAGCCTTGAAAATATAAATTTTAAAATAATCCAATTAAAGTTATTTTGTTCTCATAATTTTACTTTCCTACTAACTTTTATAATTGGTAACATTACTACTATATTTTATAATAATGAAAGATTTCTTAAAACTGTCAACATAAAAGAGTTATCTTACTTGGGCAGCATGTTGTACAGGAGCTCTTCAGCTTTTTTTTTCTCCTGGAGATAATCTGATGTCCTCTCCTCGACCAGCGCCTCCAAGTTGTTGGCATACTGCTCCATTCTGGACAGTAGGTTGTCTAGGATGTCACCTTTGTCCCCGTCTCTGTCAAAGAATTAAAGACATGTCACCAAACATAGACATACGATCATCATCATTTTTTTCTGTTCGTTTGCAAGACACATGGGGCAGATGAATTAGAGTTTATTTTCTTCAGAGAAAAAGGCATATGAAGGGATAGTGTGGTCAACACTTTGCCCAGTCGCTTTTGAATTAAGTGCCCATCAGATCTGGGTGGAATCAGGGAATTTGTATTGACTTGAACCCGGATTTGAACTTTAGACTTTTGGCTTAGCAGTCTAGCTCTCTGCCGCTAGGCCATGTTGTGCCAATACAATACATCCCTCCTTAACATATTCAGGTTTAGATGGGTTATTATTAAATTTAGGCCTAATTTACAATTAAAAAAACCTCTTCTTTAAAGGAACATTTTTACTTATTGGGGTCATCCATAAATGACGTCACACTCGTAGGGGGGAGGGGGGGTCCGTAATTTTGTGACGATGTATGATGAGGGGGAGGGGGGGGGGGGGGGTTCAGATGTTGCGACGTCACATTTTTGCATTATAAAAAAGCAATGTTAGAAAACGAATTTTAGACGTTATTTCGCGTTTTAGATAACTGTTTTAATAAATTGTAATAGTTTAGACAAGATTTTGGAAAAATATCGATGTTTTAAAAAAATTCAACTGCAATTTTGAGGGGGGGTTGTAGGTTGAGGTGTGACGTCATTTTAGGGGGGGGGGGTCTGACTTTTTGTGACGACGTGTGACGGAGGGGAGGGGGGAGGTAAAAATCGTCAAAAAAAGCGTGACGTCATTTATGGATGACCCCACTGATCTGTTAAAAATATCTTTGTATGATTACTTTGACTTGTAAATCTTGTACAAACAACTAAAATAGTTTTGTCTTACAAAATGTGTAAAAAAATAGTGAAAATCTATTATATTTTTAAACAAAAATAAACTATACAACTATTTTAAAAACTAACAACACATGTTTTTGAAAAATGGCCAATGTCCTTACTTGTTCATTTTTTTGATGACAGTTCGCAGCTGTTGAAAATCTGGCCTCTCTGCTGGGTCCTCAGCCCAACATCTTCTGATCACACCTGCCAGTTCGTCATTTGGACAGTCAAACTCCTCCAGAGTTGGCCTAAAAAATGGCTTTATTCCTTTCTTTAGTTTGTCTGTAATTTCTGTAAACACATAGATTTTGATGCATTATTTTCTAATGAGTTGACACTAAAGACTTGGCAAGTGAATAATAAACTTTGTCCATCTGTTATTTACTCATCTCTAGTCAGGGATGAGTGCTCGAGATTTTTGGGGTAGAAGACAAACACTCTACCATTTGACCATGCCAGACCCCTTTTATCAAATGTAGTTTGTCATACTGTACTGGACACTTTTTGTCAAAAAGTAGTTTGCCATACTGTACTGGACACTTTTTGTCAAAAAGTAGTTTGCCATACTGTACTGGACACTTTTTGTCAAAAAGTAGTTTGCCATACTGTACTGGACACTTTTTGTCAAAAAGTAGTTTTTCATACTGTACTGAACACATTTTGTCGAAATGTAGTTTGTAATACTGTACTAAACATGTTTGTCAAAAAGTAGTTTGTCATACTATACTAGAAACTTTTTGTCAAAATGTTGTTTTTGTCATACTGTACTAGACACATTTTGTCATACTGTAGTTTATCAAACTGTACCACAAAGATTAAATTTGGGAGAAGAAAGAAGTAATGGAAGGAATGTGAGGTCACACACTTTCTACATGTAAAGTTCCTCTTTAGACCTAGCAATCCAATGGGCAGATGAAGTAGCATTCAAATGTTTCTTGACATCAGCACACTATGCCCAGCTACCTTTACTTTCCCCAATCTAATTAACAAGCCTAAACTGAGATCTGAACTTAAGACCTTCAAGCTAGAGTAGAAGACAAATGCTCTACTATTCAACCATGTCATCCCATACATGCTTTTTACCACTAACTAAAATGATTTTAACATTAATCTGTGTTCAATCCAAGGATATGTTAGGGGGATTAGGAAAATCTTGGTGTGGGTGGGGGAAGGAAGAAGTCTAGCTTTTAGAAACATGTGAAGATAAAAATATATGTAAAATAGTTTAATTTTTTCTTGTTATTTAACATGGTGTTACATAGTTCATCTGATAATACTTGGAGGTATTAGCTAATTTTACTTTTTGTTTTTTATTTTTAAAAAAAACCTGATCTAAACTATTTACCATTAGGGGAGAGCTCCAAATTCCTCAGGTAAAAAACACCTGATCTGTACACAATCTCCTGGCAGATGATAGCAAAACTGTAGACATCACCTTTCTGAGTCCCCCCTGCAGGTGGATTGGTCATCCGTAACAGCTCTGGCGCTGTCCATAGTCTGCCTGGAAAGAGACGGTCACAGTCATTAACCTAATTGTGGAGTTACTGCTAGTTAAGTTCCCTTTCAAACCTGATGGTATATGGGGCAAGTGACTTAGAGTTCTCCTGTTTCAGTGATCCAAAATATATGAATGGATAGTGTGGTCAGCACTATGCCCAGCTGCCTTTACTTTCCCTAATGTGAATCAGGTACTCATCAGAGGCTCATGGACATTTTATGGACTTAACCCTGGATTTGAACTCAAGAGTTTCAGGTTAGCAGTTGTATGCTCTAATATACAACTATGCTGTTCCAATATGTTACAGTTAGATTACTTGTAAAACAAATAGCACAGTTGGACATCAATCTATGTTGCAATATATGTCTAGAATTTTACAAAATTTAATGATTTTTTAAGTAAAATATTTTTGCTTTTGACAAATTTTGTATTCCATTTAATACCAACATTTATAAAATTACTTTAAAAAAAATATGCCAAAATTGTATTTTCCAAGTTAGATTTCAAATATTTTTTCTCATACATTTTCAGAAAATCTACAAATAAATTAGGGTTCTCCCAAAATATTCAAGTGTGACTTAAAATTTTCAAAATTCTAGATTTCCATTTAGCACATATTCCAGGTTTTATAGCACAAAACATTAATAATAAAATTTTTGTTTAAGAAAAATATAACAAAAAGTTAAGGTTTTTAATCAACAGAAAGAAATGTTAAAACAGTGGACAAGAGCACCCTACTTCTCTCTATGGCATAAATATTATCTTCTATCTCCTCCTCTTTCTCTCTAAAGTAGTGTAGACCAAAATCTGTTATCTTGACCACAAATCTGCTGTCCACTACACAGTTGCTGGACTTGAGGTGACCATGACTTTTGATGTCTGTACTATGAAGGTATGTCATTCCCTGCAACAGACACAATAGAGTTAATTTATCTTATTTCCTACAATAGAAATTACAGAGTTAATTTATTTTATTTCCTACAACAGAAATTATAGGGTTAATTTATCTTATTTCCTACAATAGAAATTATAGGGCTAATTTATCTTATTTCCTACAACAGACACAAGAGGGTTAATTTATCTTATTTCCTACAACAGAAATTATAGGGTTCATTTATTTTATTTCCTACAACATAAACAATAGGGTTAATGTTTTTTATTTCCTACATAAGAAATTATAGGGTTAATTTATCTTATTTCCTGCAACATAAATTATAGGGTTAATTTATTTTATTTCTAACAACAGAAATTATAGGGTTGATTTATCTTATTTCCTACAACAGAAACACTGGGGTTATTCAATAACGATTTAAATAATGGATGACATAGATCTTTAATTGTAAACTCACCCTGACAATGTCTTGCATGATTGAATATCTAAACATCCAGTCCAACTTTAATTGTTCATTCTCCAAGACATCCTAGAACAATTTGTTTTTCACATTGAACATTTTGAATAAACATATTATAAAAAAAAGATGCAAGTCTTTTCTAAAGTACTGATGTGTATTTTTTAATCAAAGTATAATTTGACCTTTTTAATTTGATTCTATCCCTAATCCTATCCCTAACCCTAACCCTAGCCCTAATCCTATCCCTAACCCTAGCCCTAATCCTATTCCTAACCCTATCCCTAATCCTACCCCTAACCCTCATTCTAGCCCTAACCCTAGCCATAGGTCACTGCGCATGCGCAGAACTATCTTTTGCCGAAAAATCTTATTCCGAGTAGACACTTTGATTTTTTAATCAAAGTATAATTTGACCTTTTTAATTTGATTTTAAATTTGATTTTTTTATGTCAAGAGATTCCATTTTGAATTAGATTACAACTTAAGTAGAGAATGTGTTAGAAAAAAATTGTAAGGTCTAAATCACGTCATTCCTCATTGGACGTTGAACATAAATTTAAAAACCTAAACTTACCTGTAAACTACCTTTAGGACAGTACTCTGTCAGAATGCACTGGTTGGGGACATCTATACATACACCGTGAAATCTGACCAGGTGGTCGTTCTGTAGATCTTTCATCTGACAAACAAAAAGACGAAACATTCAACATAATGTAAATACACAAAGCAGATTTCACATGTACATACTGCTTTAAAGCTCAGCCTCGAAATCAAGCATCTAGAAATGTAAGTAATTCCATAATGTTAATTATTTCTCTAGTTAATCTCTTTATATAATTAGAAAAAGCATTCAGTGTAAAGTTAGCATACATACATTTGCATTAGTTTCATACCAACTAAAGCATATATACATTTCTAAGTCTCATACCAAGTAAATCATACATACATTTTAAATAAGTCTCATAACAACAAATTTAAAGCAAACTTGGAATAGAAGTTTTACTTTCTTATGTTATTAAAAAATTTAAATGTACAGTAATTATCAACCTTAATGCATAAATTATTGGGGTGAATTAGGTGAACAGACCTTTTTGATTTCCAACAGTAATGGTTTCTGTATGCTGATGTGAGCTCGTGGAATAGGTTTGATGGCTAAAATAGCGCCCTGGGAGATAAAATAGGCACAATTGTATACAACAAGTATGGGAATTTATTCAACATTTTGATGAAATATTGCAATTGTTTTATCATTTTAAATGAATTGATTTTTAATATAATAGATATACACATATGTCTTGTAAAATGTTTTCTACAAAATAATCTTTGTGCAATATTTTGATGAAAACAAGAATTGCCATTGTTTTATCATTTGAAGTGAATTGATTTTTAATATGATATATCTACAAATATGTGTTAAAAAATGTTTTCTACTAAATAATCTTTGAGCTACATTTTGATGAAAACAAGAATTGCCATTGTTTTATCATTTGAAGTGAATTGATTTTTAATATGATATATCTACAAATATGTGTTAAAAAATGTTTTCTACTAAATAATCTTTGAGCTACATTTTGATGAAAAAAAGAATTGCAATTGTTTTATCATTTTTAAGTGAATTGATTTTTAATATAATAGATCTACAAATGTGTGTTATAAAATGTTTTCTACTAAATAATATTTGAGCAACATTTTGATGAAAATAAGAATTGCAACAGTTTTATTATTTTAAGTAAATTGACTTTTAATATGATAGATCTACATATATTCCTTATAAAATGATTTCTACTAGATAATCTTTGTTTTTAACTTTGAGGGACTAATGTTTTAATCAAACCAATAGGCCGGTTTGTTTATAAAAGTGGAAGATTAAAAGATAAGTTACATGATGTCAGAGGAAGGCTAGTGGTTTACATAGCAATTCTATTCAATTTAACAGTTATAAACTGTGATTGTACAAATACAATAGCTAACAAGGTCTAATATCAGCGATTTATATCAATAGCTTAATCCTAAAAAGAGGAGAAATAACTATTTAAAGTGTAGAAATAATTCCTCAAAAAGTGGGAATATTTCTTCACAGTGTAAGAATTAATACGCCACCAAATAGTACCTTGTAGTATCCCGTTTTTGTAAAGAGTTGTCTGTTTCCCACGTCACTTAGATGAACCGCTATAGTGTCAGCTGAACAATCGCTGTGGTAGGAATTTCTCTGAAAAGTCGTAAGGGGAAACAACCGCGTTTATTATAACAACAAATATTAGGTGACGAGTTATTGATGTTTTTTTTTTTCTTCATGTTACAGAAAGCAATACTTATTGTGCAAAATGGCAGCATTATAAGATTAGAGTTTAAGAAGTGGCTGTTTTTTTTTTGCAGGTTATCTTTGAATATTAAATGCCTGGTTCAATTGATTTAGTACTTTCTTAGCATACTAAATCATGGATTGAATTCCGAAAATGGTCTCAGCTGACTTTAGAGCCAGAAACCTCTTCCCCAGTATTACTTTGAGACTTTTTTCTCCGTAGGGGGGGGGGGGGGGGGGGAAGGGGGGAGGAGGGGGAGAGGGAGGGGGTGGAATGGGCGGGCAAATGCCATAAAAAATAGATTATTCACCTCACTTACATGTAAAAAAATCTATTATTCACCTCTTTTACATGCCAAAAAAATAGATGATTCACCTCACTTACATGCCCGTTCTGATTGTTCTTGCTGTCCGTCTTCTTGTTGTTCCTTGTGGGCCCCCCAAACATTATGTCGTCCCATCTTACTCGCCAGTTCATCTCAGCAAGCTCCGCCTCCAGCTTAAAGTGTCTGCAGAGGAGAGGAGGCTGAATACAGAACTTTATCACACAACAATATAGGCTACTTTACACAACATTACAGGATGCTTTACACAACAACATTATAGGATACTTTACAAAACAGCTGAGTACAGAACTTTACTACAACACTTTATAGGATGCTTTACACAACATAATTATAGGATACTTTAAAAAACAGCTGAATACAGAACTTGACTACAACACTTTATAGGATGCTTTACACAACATAATTATAGGATACTTTACAAAACAGCTGAATACAGAACTTGACTACAACACTTTATAGGATGCTTTACACAACATAATTATAGGATACTTTACAAAACAGCTGAATACAGAACTTGACTACAACACTTTATAGGATGCTTTACTACACAACATTATAGGATACTTTAAAAAACAGCTGAGTACAGAACTTGACTACACAACATTACAGGATACTTTACTATACAACATTATAAGATACTTTACACAACATTACAGGATACTTTACAAAACAACATTATAGGATACTTTACAAAACAGCATTATAGGATACTTTACAAAATAGCTAAGTACAGAACTTTACTACACAACATTACAGGGTACTTTACTACACACCATTACAGGATACTTTACTACACAACATTATAGGATACTTTAAAAAACAGCTGAGTACAGAACTTGACTACAACACTTTATAGGATACTTTACACAACATAATTATAGGATACTTTAAAAACAGCTGAGTACAGAACTTGACTACAACACTTTATAGGATACTTTACACAACATTACAGGATACTTGACTACACAACATTACAGGATACTTGACTACACAACGTTACAGGATACTTTTCAAAACAGCTGAGTACAGAACTTTAGTACAACACTTTATAGGATGCTTTACTACACAACATTATTGGATGCTTTACTACACAACACTACGAGACATCACTTTACAAGACAAATAACGAAATTTAACATTACAAGACACATTATAAGACACAAGATTACAAGACACATTATAAGACACACCATTACAAGACCTATAACAAGACCCAACTTCTTGTTCTTCGTTCTTAATTTAGTTTTGAAATGGATTCCCTCCAACACGATTAAGTATACGTGTCAACTTGTTATACGCCATATAGGCCGTTAACTCCGATTTCAGCCTTTTTTATTTGGATTTGCTTCCATAGCATTGGTCAACCAAGAACAATTACAAGGCAGCAGTTGTTTGAGTTTGGGGTTGTCTCTTTTAGAAGAGCTGTTGTCCCTAGCTATCGAGCCTCATCTCCCCGAAGATAATCGAACTCGAGACTTTTCGGTTTGGCAACCTTCAGCTGCCACGCCGATAAAACAAATAACAAAACATAACAATTCAAGATATAACATTAAAAGACAACATTACAAGATACAACATTACAAGACCACATTACAAGATACAACATTACAAGACATTACAAGACAACATTACAAGACAACATTACAAGACAACATTACAAGACAACATTACAAGACAACATTACAAGACAACATTACAAGACAACATTACAAGATAACATTACAAGATACAACATAACAAGACAACATAACAAGACAACATAACAAGACAACATTACAAGACAACATTACAAGACCACATTACAAGACAACATTACAAGACAACACAAAACACAACATTACAAGACATTTCAAGACAACATTACAAGTTAACATTACAAGACAACATTACAAGTTAACATTACAAGACAACATTACAAGACATCATTACAAGTTAACATTACAAGACAACATTACAAGTTAACATTACAAGACAACATTACAAGACATTACAAGACAACATTACAAGTTAACATTACAAGACAACATTACAAGTTAACATTACAACACAACATTACAAGACAACATTACAAGTTAACAAGACACAAAACACAACATTACAAGACAAAGCGCTGGTCAAGTTGAAGCTAAAAGAAATTGATGTATAGGCGAATCGCTTTCGACAAAAAATAGACATGAAAGGGTTAACATTGATTACACGTCATGATTGATGTTGTGGGCGGCATTGTGTTAAATATAAAAGTTTCTTCAAGAAAAACATTTTTATTTTTCATTTCGGCCTTAAATCGACTACACGCTTCATTAATTTTCAAATGAGAGAACACAAAAATAGTTTTAAATACTTGAGCACATATTACAAGTATAGACGTAATTTATGATAAATGATTGATTTCTTAATCTACCATGTTTGTTTAGTTATAATTGAGTTGTAAGCTTACATAGAAACATTGACGTAGACTAGTAGTTAGTAGGAATTTTGCTATACTTTATTTCATCAATTATATCTCACAAAACTCCATTAGTCCATTCTATATTTTAAGGTCTTGTGTTAAAAATTACCAGTACATATGACGCTTGTATGTTTAGAAGTATTCCTGTACATTTTCTTTTTAGATTTTTAAACATTTACCTCAACATTTTGTGTTAATACGAGTAAATGCATGTCTTAGCTCTATATAATAGTGTTTAAGAAATTAAAAATCTACATTAAGGCCTAACTTTGAAATCATTATTAGACTTAAAAATTAACACTATCAAAATTGTACTTGCATTATTGCATTTATACAATGAAAAATATACACCTGTCGTCTACAGGTTGTGCTTATATTTTAAATTTTACCTGTACACGTTGTTCTTAATTTTAGCGTTGGAAGGGATCCTTTTTAACTCAATTAAGTACGTGTCAACTAGTTATGCGTCATTGAGGCCATTGACTCCGATTTCAGCCTGCTTTTCTTTTTGGATTTGCTTCCATAGCCTTTGTCCAACCAAGAACAAACTACAAGGCAGCAGTGGTCTAATTTTGGAGTTGTCTCTCCTAGAAGAGTGGCTGTCCCCAGCTAAAGAGGGTTCGAACTCGAGACTTTAGCAACCATGAGCTTTACCGACTCGACCACCCCTTTAGACAACAACTATGTCGGCCTACCTGTACACGAAGAAGGTGACAATGAGTACAACCAGTAAAATGGAGCCCAGCACGATAATCACGATGCCATACTCAGGAAACGGTTCTGGAATAAAAGAAATTGTAAAAATATAATAGTAAAAAAAAAGATTGTAAAAATATAATCGTAAAAAAAAAGAAATTGTAAAATATAATCGTAAAAAAAATAATTGTAAAATATAATAGTAAAAAAAAAAGAAATTGTAAAAATATAATCGTAAAAAAAAAGAAATTGTAAAATATAATCGTAAAAAAAAGAAATTGTAAAATATAATAGTAAAAAAAGAAATTGTAAAATATAATCGTAAAAAAATAAATTGTAAAATATAATCGTAAAAAAAAGAAATTGTAAAATATAATCGTAAAAAAAGAAATTGTAAAATTTAATCGTAAAAAAAAGAAATTGTAAAATATAATCGAAATCCAATTTTCCTGAACTAGTTTTATGCCTTTGATTCTTTTGTTACAAGAAAACCTTACCACTGCATTGCTTTTGTTATGCTTTATGAATATCTCACCCTAGATTTAAAAATCAATAGCAGGCTACAACAAAAATTGTTAGTCTAGCCTAGTGCTCTGAATTTAGGACTGGGTGAGGCCGAATGGAGATTTGATATATATATATATATATATATATATATATATATATATATATATATATATATATATATATATATATATATATATATATATATATAAATTATATATATATATATAAATAAATTATATATATATATATATATATATATATATATATATATATTATATATATATATATATATGCATTAAAAACATGTTATAAAAACACGGGTATTAAAATGTATATGTTATATCCATAAATTTTCCGGGGTAAGGGGGGGGGGGAATAAATTTTCCGGGGGGAGGGGGACAGGTAAAAGAATCTATTCTATATAGATTCCATTTTATTCGGGGTGGGGGTAGACTTTTTCGTGGGGGGGGGGGGGGAGTCTGAGATGCCTTGAAGAAAATCTGACCAAATATTTAATAAATGTCCGAAGATCTTCCTCCACTGATGTCAAAATAAACAAATAAATCTGAAACCTTCTCTTTAAATTACTGTTTAAATTAAATTAGAGTTTCTTTCAGGCATTTGAAACACCCCCCCCCCCCCCGGATAAAAATGTCTGAAAGAAACAATGGTTTCAATATCTATTTATAGAGCATCGATGCGTGAAAAACATAATTACTTTGAGGTGGGCATAAACTGCCATCAAAGCCACAGATGGGTGTGTCAGGTGGGGGGCCATCTCGACCCCCGGGCCAGTGAATCTTCTTGCCAGGCGTGGGCGTGTAGTTCTTGGAGTTGCCGAAGTACTCAGCCACAACCTGCGAAAGACAATTTAGCACCGTCAAACATCGGCAAACATCGGTAAACATCGACAAACATCGTCAAACATCGTCAAACATCGGCAAACATCGTTAACGGTTTTATCCCCTACAATTGTCGACTGTAGGCTACATCTGTGTGTAGGTGAATGGGTGTGTGGCGGGTGAGTATTATATATATATATATATATATATATATATATATATATATATATATATATATATATATATATATATATATAGGCATATACATATATATATTTATATATACATACATACATACATATATATATATATATATATATATATATATATATATATATATATATATATATATATATATATACTTATATGTATATATATATAATTTAAATATATAAAGATTCAAAACGAAAATGACGTGGGGGTCTACATTCTTTAGCACCCTCGGTATACCCATAACTACCAAACCAGCGTAAAATTTTATATGCATATTGTTTATGTGTGTGTGTGTGTGTGTGTTTTTATGTATTCTACGTGTGCACTGTATGATTTAAGTGCGTATCAAGTAATCGTGTCTAGTTTTCTCCACGGGGCTGTGATGCTTTAAACAAAACCCAAACTAGCCCAGTACACCAAGGGAGTTGTGCTGGATCTAACACCACAGTGTAATAGACCTACATCCCCCTCCTCACCTTAAACAAAACCCAAACTAGCTCAGTACACCAAGGGAGTTGTACTGGATGTTACACAACAGCGTAACAGACCTACATTCCCCCCACCCCACCCCTTTGGCCATGGAGGTCAACCTGTCATGTCCGTTTTTCCCTCTCAAGTTCCAGACCTAGTCAATAAACCCCCCTCCCCCACCCCTCCCCCACTTTACCCACAGGCTCTGTCTTATTGCCTCGGTACTCTTACCTCAAAGGTATTCGTTTCCGGGTCCAGATCGAGCAGGGAATAATCGGCATTGCGATCCCCGTTAGCATCGATACTGACCGTACCAGTAATACCTGTAATCGAATATTCGATACATTAATTAATTAAATTACAAATATTGCAGCTCGTACATTCGCAAATCGTCATGCATAATTCAGATTCAAACACTTTTATACAGATTAAATGCGAAACTTAAAGGTAATGATAAGAAAGGTTGCATGTAAAACATAATGACACGAAACGAAATCTACTACCGAATCCTCTTTTGTTTAGTAAGTAAAGTTCCCTTTCAAGCCTGACGGTCTATGAGGCAAGTGAAGTAGGGTTCACGTGTTTCTATGACCTCGGCATATGAAGAGATAGTGTGGTCAGCACTATGCCCAACCGCCTTTACTTTCCCTAACGTGAGTTAGCTACCCATCAGAGTTGGGTGGACTACTTTTGTTTAGTTATCACGGAATATTTAAGTTAACGTTTTAATAAACTTTATATCCATAGGCGGATCAAATGAATTATATTTCTTTTTTTTTAAATTTCTGTAGGGGCCTATAAAAATTAAGGGCAAACAAAGTTGCTAGATAAGAAAAAAATATTTGAACGTCCTTGAACCTTTCATCAAATCCATTAGAAATAAAAGTTTATTTTTTTAACATCATTGCAGAAATCCACGAAAATCACAAATTATCATTAAAACTACCACCTCTGTGCGTAATTAACTTTTCAAATTTATCTCTTAAAAATACACAAACAACGTTTTGATAACAAGCTTTTATGTAATAATGCACTAAAAAGAAGAAAAAAAAATGATTTTCTTTAAATATGCAGTAATACACTACTATTTAAATAACTATGAAGAAAAGCGTGGGTCACTATGGTATCTATTGTATACCTTTACTAATATTTAGGAATAGACCTACATTTTTCTTTCTAGTTATTTAAATAGTAGTGTATTATTATATATAATCTCCTTTTTGGTGCATTTTCACATACAAGCTTATTATTTTGCCAACTTTTAAACGAATCAGTCTGTTAGAAGTGCTCGAAATTTCGCTCGCCCGTTTCGATCTACAACAACAGAAAGCAAAACAGAGGAAGCAAGTTAAATAAAAGCTCACCTTCAAACGTCCGGTTCCACATTTTCTTGGTGATCGTCAGGCCGTCGCTGACATTCTTGCCCTCGGCGATGGTCTCGTTCAAGGCTAAGGCATACAAGATGACAGCGTCATGGAAGGCACCGACGAAGCTGTTCACCTGATACAGAGAATGATGCCGTTATTTATTGTTTTGGGATCAGAGGCGTAGCCACCCGTTCCGGCGCCAAGGGGCGGACTATCAATTTATTTTGCGCCCGCTCCTATTTCTATATATAGTTATTCTTGCCTGTGATTATTCTATTTACTTTATCTATTTTAAACAATTAGATTATGTTACGTAAGGGGGGGGGGGCGTCAAAAGGCGTAAAAAATTAATTAAAAAGCTCATTTTATAAGGTAAGAAAACCGTGTTAGGATATTTGTAGGTAAACATAAAAGAAAAGAAAACAAAAATATATTTAAAAAAAAAATTAACCTGTACTAGGAAACCAAAAATACTACTTCCATTGCAGTCGATAATATTTTGATATTTATATGTATTACCCCACCCCCTACCCCCACCCCCTACACTGGTAAAAATGCGTCCAACTTGAAGTCACAGCATGACATGTCGCTGACATAAAAATCAAATCAAATCACTTGTTGGGGAAGAAGGGAGATTATCCTTTAAAAACTCAAGAGTTATCCGCCCCTGTGGTTACAATGACTCGAAAATCTGCGCTGACTTCAATGGACTTGAGACTAAGCGAGTGATGTGACAATGTAATACAGTGTTCAAGATTGTATTGCTATGTCAGTGTTGGGGTTAGGGTAGTGATTGGGGTTCGGAGGGGGGTGTGTGTGGAGTGTTATTATAACTGAGGGGGCTTGACCTCTGGTGCTGCAAGGAAGGGGGCGAGGCGGGGAAGGGGGTGTAATAGAAAGAACCTGACGTTAATTTTACGGCTCTTAATTTCAATTTCAAGGCTAGTTGAAGAATTGGATTAGTGAGAAATACAAATTAGTTTGAATCACTTTCTTTCAGGCATGTATTCAAAGCACGTCCAACAGGACAAAATAGAAAGAAAAAAAAATCTCAGCTCTCCTTTAAAGTGCACCCTCACTCGGAAAAAAAATGTCTGAAAGAAACACTTGTTACAATCGCGAGTTATAAAGTACCGATGCTTGGAAAAAAAAACATTGTTTCGATTACGTCGACGCTTTAGTAAGTAACTGAATCTAAACAGAGTTTCTTCCAGGCATCTCCGCCCCCCCCCCCCCACCCCACCCCCCCCCCTCCGAAAAAGGACATCCTCCACCCCCCAGAACGAAATTGAATTTATATAGAAAACATATTTCTACGAGTGTCCGATGCCCCGGAAAATGTTGATCGCCCCCCCCCCCCCGCCCCTCCCCCACCGAAACTATGAAGTGCCGCCTCGGAGAAAAAAGTCTGGAAGAAACACTGAATCTAAAATCAATGTATGCGATCCGTATGTCGAAATCTACTGCTACCCTGCTGGTACAAGGTCAAAGTCGGACGTTTGACCTGAAATCTGACTCGCAACTTGATTATTATCATCTGGGGTGGGGGGGGGGGGGTGGTGAGAAGTTAGGGCATAGATGGACGGGCCATCCCCAACCGTCAGTAGGGCGATAGGTTGATGACGTGTCTCGTTTGGTGCGTCACCTAACATGGGTTACCTAATCAGGATTTGGGAAGTCACACGTGGGTAACGTGTTCGGGTTCAAGGGTCAAGCGAATCATTTAGTTTTGGAGATGGATACTTTGTTTATTACGATTTTAACACTCATGTATTTGATTTAGACAATCTGGATCTTTTTTTTGTCATTGTGGTGTTTCAGATTTTGATATAGCCTACAGAAGTTTTGAATTTTAACTCTGATGTTTCATATTTTGACACCGATGTTTTAGATTTTGACACACTGATGTTTTAGATTTCGACATACTGATGTTTTAGATTTTGACACACTGATGTTTTAGATTTTGACACACTGATGTTTTAGATTTTGACACTGATGTTTTATATTTTGACACTGATGTTTTATATTTTGACACTGATGATTTAGATTTTGACACTGATGTTTTAGATTTTGACATTGATGTTTTAGATTTTGACACTGATGTTTTAGATTTTGACACACTGATGTTTTAGATTTTGACACACTGATGTTTTAGATTTTGACATTGATGTTTTAGATTTTGACATTGATGTTTTAGATTTTGACACTGATGTTTTAGATTTTGACACTGATGTTTTAGATTTTGACATTGATGTTTTAGATTTTGACACTGATGTTTTAGATTTTGACATTGATGTTTTAGATTTTGACACTGATGTTTTAGATTTTGACACTGATGTTTTAGATTTTGACATTGATGTTTTAGATTTTGACATTGATGTTTTAGATTTTAACACTGATGTTTTAGATTTTGACACTGATGTTTTAGATTTTAACACTGATGTTTTAGATTTTGACACTGATGTTTTAGATTTTGATATTGACGTTTTAGATTTTGACATTGATGTTTTAGATTTTGACATTGATGTTTTAGATTTTGACATTGATGTTTTAGATTTTGACATTGATGTTTTAGATTTTAACACTGATGTTTTAGATTTTGACACTGATGTTTTAGATTTTGACATTGATGTTTTAGATTTTGACATTGATTTTTTAGATTTTGACATTGATGTTTAAGATTTTGACATTGATATTTTAGATTTTGACATTGATGTTTTAGATTTTGACACTGATGTTTTAGATTTTGACACTGATATTTTAGATTTTACATTGATGTTTTAGATTTTGACACTGATATTTTAGATTTTGACACTGTTTTAGATTTTACATTGATGTTTTAGATTTTGACATTGATATTTTAGATTTTGACACTGATATTTTAGATTTTACATTGATATTTTAGATTTTGACACTGATATTTTAGATTTTGACACTGTTTTAGATTTTACATTGATGTTTTAGATTTTGACATTGATATTTTAGATTTTGACACTGATATTTTAGATTTTAACACTGATGTTTTAGATTTTGACACTGATGTTTTAGATTTTGATATTGACGTTTTAGATTTTGACATTGATGTTTTAGATTTTGACACTGATGTTTTAGATTTTGACATTGATGTTTTAGATTTTGACATTGATGTTTTAGATTTTGACACTGATGTTTTAGATTTTGACATTGATGTTTTAGATTTTGACATTGATGTTTTAGATTTTAACACTGATGTTTTAGATTTTGACACTGATGTTTTAGATTTTAACACTGATGTTTTAGATTTTGACACTGATGTTTTAGATTTTGATATTGACGTTTTAGATTTTGACATTGATGTTTTAGATTTTGACATTGATGTTTTAGATTTTGACATTGATGTTTTAGATTTTGACATTGATGTTTTAGATTTTGACACTGATGTTTTAGATTTTGACATTGATGTTTTAGATTTTGACATTGATGTTTTAGATTTTAACACTGATGTTTTAGATTTTGACACTGATGTTTTATATTTTGACACTGATGATTTAGATTTTGACACTGATGTTTTAGATTTTGACATTGATGTTTTAGATTTTGACACTGATGTTTTAGATTTTGACACACTGATGTTTTAGATTTTGACACACTGATGTTTTAGATTTTGACATTGATGTTTTAGATTTTGACACTGATATTTTAGATTTTGACACTGTTTTAGATTTTACATTGATGTTTTAGATTTTGACACTGATATTTTAGATTTTGACACTGTTTTAGATTTTACATTGATGTTTTAGATTTTGACATTGATATTTTAGATTTTGACACTGATATTTTAGATTTTGACACTGATATTTTACATTTTAACACTGATGTTTTAGATTTTGACACTGATGTTTTAGATTTTGATATTGACGTTTTAGATTTTGACATTGATGTTTTAGATTTTGACATTGATGTTTTAGATTTTGACATTGATGTTTTAGATTTTGACACTGATGTTTTAGATTTTGACATTGATGTTTTAGATTTTGACATTGATGTTTTAGATTTTAACACTGATGTTTTAGATTTTGACACTGATGTTTTAGATTTTAACACTGATGTTTTAGATTTTGACACTGATGTTTTAGATTTTGATATTGACGTTTTAGATTTTGACACTGATGTTTTAGATTTTGACATTGCTGTTTTAGATTTTGACATTGATGTTTTAGATTTTGACATTGATGTTTTAGATTTTGACATTGATGTTTTAGATTTTGACACTGATGTTTTAGATTTTGACATTGATGTTTTAGATTTTGACATTGATGTTTTAGATTTTAACACTGATGTTTTAGATTTTGACACTGATGTTTTAGATTTTGACATTGATGTTTTAGATTTTGACATTGATGTTTTAGATTTTAACACTGATGTTTTAGATTTTGACACTGATGTTTTAGATTTTGACATTGATGTTTTAGATTTTGACATTGATGTTTTAGATTTTGACGTTGATGTTTTAGATTTTGACATTGATGTTTTAGATTTTAACACTGATGTTTTAGATTTTGACACTGATGTTTTAGATTTTGACATTGATGTTTTAGATTTTGACATTGATTTTTTAGATTTTGACATTGATGTTTTAGATTTTGACATTGATGTTTTAGATTTTGACATTGATGTTTTAGATTTTGACATTAATGTTTTTGATTTTAACACTGACGTTTTAGATTTGGACACTGATGGTTTAGATTTTAACACTTTGCCGTTTTGGATTTTAACACTAATGTAGATTTCGTCACTAACTCTGATGTTTTATGTTTTGAAACTTATGTTTTAGATTTCGATACTGATGTTTTGAAGCTTGTCCTTCTTTTTGAGCACTTTTGAGTTTAAGGATCAAACCCCTGTGGAGGTTTGAACAGTGTGGAAGTTAAACATTACTAGACTGGGCTGACAAAGTTTTATTGCGAGACCTTCAAAGGACGCCTAAGGGCTCTAAAAATTGGAGACCGATTTCACGTTTAAGAGAATAACTTCAAGGGCTAACATAACAGCTACGGAGAAATGAGCTTATTTATGAGCTGTGGTCAGGTTTAGAGGAGCTAAATATAATGTTTGAAAGAAGATCCCTCCAACGTATCCTCAGAATTAAGTGGGGCGACAAAGTCCCGAACAAGAAATACGACGAAGGACATGCTTAAACGACATTGTTTCAGAAGTACGAATGAGATGGAGATGGCTGGGTAATGTCCTACCCATGAACAAAAGAAGACACCCCAAAATGGCGCTGAAGTGGACTCCGCCTGGAAAACGAAGGAGAGGAAGACCACTGGGAACATGGAGGAGAGAGATGGAAGAAGAAGTGCAGGCTACTGGCAGGACCTGGCATGAACTAAAGTGGCTCGCCCAAGACAGAGTGGAATGGCGGAGATTTGTTGCTGTCTTATACTCCACAAGGAGTGATGAGGATTAAGTAAGTAAGTAAACATAATCTAGTATCGATGGTTATAGATGTAAGAGCTGAACTACTTAGATTGTACAAAGCTGAAGAGCTCAAAGATATGAAGGAGCATGAGACACGTCTTGAGTTGAAATCATCACAACTGACACGACTTCAATTACCAGCTTACATGTAATGTAGCAGCGAATAGCTCTGATGTCTTCGTTGGCCAGTTTCTCGAAGAAAAAACGTCACTCGACAATTTTTGTGGCCAGTTTCAACATGTCTAGTGCCATAAGGCCTTATCAAGAGGCCAATCACAATGTCATGTCATGATGTCATGTTTGTGCAACAGTTTCCCTTGTCGCTTCTTGAAATCACTTAAAGAATATGTTTTTTAAAAGCTGTGATATTTCTTCCTTTACTTCCCCATTGAAGATGTATTCTATTTGTCTACAATTTTCCCCCTAACTTTCACACGAAAGAGGTACGCTATTTATCTGCAATGTTTCTCTAACTTTCACACGAAAGAGGTAAGATGTTTGTTTACAAATCCCAATATTCCCAGCTTGTCCAGAGTTTGACGAGAGCGCTGATGTAAACGATGAGGAAACATGTCTAGCGGTTTAAAACGAAGTCTGACATTGCCAATTTTGTGGCTTTGACAGACTGTCAAGCTATCGTCGTGGTTTTGAAAGCGCTCTTGAAATAATTTATAACCCCGGGAATTTTATAAAGGTCGAAAACATGATGCAGTTTTTCTTGACTTGATTTTCCTCAACTTTTGTCAATTAAGTGTTTGGCATTTTGAACTTTTCAAGCGCGCTTAAACGCAGGATTTTCTTCAGACATTTTTCTCCGGGGGATGGGGGGGGGGGGCATTGAACCTTCCGGGAAAGTGTCGTGCTTCAAATTTACAGCGAGACAGACACTTAATGAAGTATACATTTCCCGTATAAATTATGAATTTTAATTCAACTTCGTCCGGGGTGGTGGGGTAGGGTTAGATTAAAATGTACCGGTAGACAGACATTTGTTATATATATATATATATATATATATATATATATATATATATATATATATATATATATATATATATATATATATATATATATATATATATATATATATATATACACATATATATATATACACATATATATATATTCTATATAAATTATGTATTTTAATTCTATTTCTTCTGGAAGAGGAGAGCGAGATATGCTCAATATGGACTAAGGTTAAGGCTAGGTTTAGGACTGAACTCTTTTTAAGGTTTTGAGCACAACGATAAAATACAAGTTTATTATTTAGGTGTAAAGTTCCCCTTCTAAACCTGACTGTTTCTGTGACCTCGGCATATAAACAGATAGTGTGGTCAGCCGCCTACTCTTTCTCTTACGTAAATTAGGTACCAATCAGGGACGGTCTTTTGACTTGAAGCCGGATTCAAACTCGAGGCTAGCAGTCTAGCTCTCTACCGCTAGGCCACTCCGTCCCTTATTATTTAGGTGTGCTGTATGTTATTGCAAGGGTAATGTATTCGTATCAAGAAACGTTGCATAACTCTGCCTTTAGTTTATTCTATATTTAGCAACAAATTTTGCCAGTTTGATTAATAGTAGAGAGAATGGATTCAGACAACTGGCTTACAATTTATTTAAAACTTGAATCACAAATATAGATCTAGGCCCACTTAAAATGAAGTTGCAACTCCCCCCTCCCCCCCGCCCCGAATTTCCATAACATTTTTCTGTACAATCGTCTCAAGATTCTATTCTATCAATAACATTGTTATTTAGGCCGTGTCTAGGATAAGGACTGGAGAGTGGGATGATATCAAGGATGTTGTCAGGCAGAGGCGTAGCGAGGGGGTGCGGGGGTATATATGTCCCAGGGCACCAACCCTAGGGGGCGCCAAAATGGGTTTAAAAGAAAATTAAAAGCTTATTTTAGCTGCAGTTTTGCATTAGAAATATAAACAAATATATATGGGGGGGGGGGGGGGGGGCAAATTGAAAGTTTATCCCCGGGCGCCGGGAAGGGTCGCTACGCCTCTGCTGTCAGAGATAGATTATGGTTGCTGCTAAGGTTAAGATCCATCTTGCAATGTTGACAAAAGCAAATAGCATCAAACACTGCATGCTGATGCTTTAGTAATCAATATATTTCTCAAAACAATTAAATTTAATAACATAAAGTAAAATTAACAAAGTCGTGTTCTTCTCGATCGTTCTTACTTGTAATGTTGGAAGGGATTTCCTCTAATATAATTAAGAATTACGTGTCAATTTGTTATGCGCCATATAGGCCGTTTTCTCAGATTCCAGCCTGCTTTTCTTTCTAGATTTGCATCCATAACCTTTTTCCTACTATGAACAAATTACAAGGCAGCAGTTGTTTGATTTTAGAGTTGTCTCTCCTAGAAGCGTTTCTGTCCCTAGCTTTTGAGCAACATCTGCCGTTGGTTCAAACCGACCCGACTACGCCGACCCCTATATATACAATAATAATAAACTAATCTATAAGGAAGTTTGTTGCAACAATAAAATCTTTTTCCACCATTAAAAAAAAATGTTTATCGTCGACCTTTCGGCCCGCGACTTGTGTTTATCGTTTATTTTGTTCTGTCTGACAGTATAAAAACCAGCATGTGTCAGCCAAAGCCGCGGGGAATTGTTAGCCGCGGATGTCAAAGAAGCGACTCCCACTGGGAGGATTATTTTCGTCGTACGGACAATAAAAAAACACAAATCGAGTCGGGACGCGCGGATCAAATATTTAATGTTACGTAATCAAACGGTGTTTATTATTGTTTTTTTTTTTTTCGTTTGTTAGTTTGTTTGTTCAAAATGACAACAGGAATATGACAAATGTATCATTAAAAACAACGAAACAATATAAGATGCGGATTCAAATAAATTGTTGACGAAAAACCAATGTTTGTTTTTTTACAAATTTTTGGAATAGCCATAAAAAAAAAAAAAAAAAAAAAAAAAAAAAGTTTGTGATTAAAACACGAATTTGTTTTTTAGATTTTTTTAATGGTAATTTGTTTTTATTAAATAACATTAATTAAATACCGAGGAATATTGAAATTTATTTTACATAAGTAAATTTTAAAGCTATGAAATATGTGGATAAACATTACAAGTCTAAATCTTTCATACGAGTAGAACCCAGTGTTTCTTCCAGACTTTTTTCTCCCGGGGGGGGGGGGGGGGGGGCACTTGAAATTTTCGGGGGGGGGGCGGGGGGGTAGACTTTCTTCGTCAGGGGAGGGGGCGGACACTGTTAAAACGATATACTTTCTATATAAATTATATAAATTTCATTTCGTTCTGGGGGGGGGGGGGGGGTGGAGGGTCGTATAATTTTATTTTGAGATGCCTGGAAGAAACTCTGGTAGAACCGGCTTGTGCATTGCTCAGAAGCAAGGTCGAGCGCAAGTTGATGAAAAATAAAGCGCATACTACAGGTGTTTCTTTCAGATATTTTTCTTTGAGAGTGGAGGGGGAGGGGCAAGGGGTGAAGGGATACTGGTTAAAGTAAATATTCTAAATAAATTATAATTTTAAATTTTAGATAAAAACTCTGCTTCATCTACCCTAACGTGTCTTGGGCACGAACGGAAAAAAGATGACGATGGTGAAGAAAAAATAAAAATGGGTGGCTACGCTAAAAAAAATTACGTAACATTAAGAATAAGCAAAGATGTGATGTTAAAAAGGGGGATAACTATGTAATAAAACTATAAAGAAAAAAGTCGCGTTAACGGCAGACAAGGGACGTTACCTCCTGGTCCCCGTACGTGAAGTTCGGGTACATTTTGGCGGCCCTGGCCTTGACCTCTTCAGAGAAGTTCTTGTAGGCTTCGCTGGTGGGCTTGCGCAAGGTCACAGTCATGAGGCTCTCGTAGGCTTTCCTAGCGTCGTCGTTTCGTTGTTGGGTGTCGTTGGCCCGGTACCATGGTCGGGCGGTAGCGTTGTAGCTGTGGGGAGAAAGGTAGGGGTTCGAGTACCTTACAGAAAGCTAGGTGAATGTAAATACTTTGGTGTGGGGAGATTGTCAAGTATTCGAGTACGTTTCAGAAAACTAGGTTAATGTAAATACTTAGCTGTGGGGAGATAGGTAGGGGTTCGAGTACGTTTCAGAAAGTTAGGTGAATATAAATACTTTTTTTCCCCTCATTTTCTTTCAGATCGTAGGAGAAAGCTAGGTTAATATAAAGGATTTTTTTTTATTTTCTCAATTTGTTTTTGTTTAGATCGTTTGAAGAATTTTGGGTTTATATAAAGGATCTTTTTCTCTGTATTAGATCGTTTATCAAAGCTGGATTTATATAAAGGATCTTTTTCTCTGTTTTAGACAGTTTAAGAAAGCTGGATTTATATAAATGAACTTTCTCTGTGTTTTAGTTCTTTGTAAATGGAATTGGTGTATGTTAGGTCTATGTGAAAGTGACATTTTTATATTTATACAACATGGTAATTTTGTTAATTTATTTATTGGAAACTGGACATGTATGTTAATACAGTTAGCAAATGTAAACGACATCTCCGTATTTGATTTGAGTGTAAATGGTATCTATGATTTTGAATATTAATGGCATTTTGGATTATTTATTTACGTATAAACGAGATCTGTATTTATTTATAAATGCATACATATAAAAATATATTTCCTTTACAGATTTCATATAAAAGCCATGTATGTATACTCATAAATATAGAACTGTCAACTAAATAAAGACAATTTGCATATCCAATTCTTGACAGTAAAAATATTCTGCATAAATTAATCATCTAATTATCTGCTAAACATTAATTAACAGTTTCTACTGTATAATATATTAAAACAAGTCCCCCCATGGTCTTCACCCACCTCCAAAATTTGCTCTAAAAAACAACAAACGTCAATGTTGTGCTGTAGAGTTACGCCGCTTTCAACCCAGGCGCATTCGATAATCAGCATGCAGAGTGTTAATTAACCCGCGGTGTTAATTAACCTGCGGGGTTAATTAACCTGCCTGGGGTGATTAACACTTAAAAAAAATTAAATTCCTGATCGTGACCGTCAATCACACACGATCAAACAAGACAGATAATTTATTGCAATATTTAAAAAAAAAAAAGTTTTCCTGGACGGACGCTGAATTTAATTTGAATTTATTAAAACCTTTGAAGTTGTCTAAAGCTCTCTTGCAGCTATCTGTCTTCATTGCATGAGGCGGGGGAGGGGTGTGGGGGATAATGGCATCGGGCTTTAGAGTAAACAACTCGGTAAATAATAGTGGGATAATGTTATGGCAACAGGGTTTCTTTCAGGCTTTCTTCTCCGTGCGGGGTGGGGGGGGGGGGCGAAGTTAACATATCCAGGAATTAGTGAACGCTGGTTGAAAAATATATTTCCTTTATAAATTATGTATTTTTTTCATTGCATCCGAGGAAGGGGGCGGGGGCGGTAAACGTGCGCTGGGGGTGACGGGGAGGGGGAGTGGTGTGCACTGTTCCACCGAATCAACCTTTATTAGCAATTCCTAGCGATTTCATTTCGATTATAAAAAAAGTAATGAAATAACATTATATATATATATATATATATATATATATATATATATATATATATATATATATATATATATATATATATATATATATAATACACTGGCAGTATTGAGTATGGTAACGTTGCTTCTATGCACTTAACTACCTCATGACAAATGCATAATTTTTGTATTCTTCAAGGATTTATTGATTTTATACAGAAATCAAAATTAAAGTTTAAGATATTAACACTTCACGATATTTAATTCATTAAAATATTTAACATTTCTAAACACTATGAAGCCCACTTTTTAAAATAAAAAAGTAATTTTCAAATTACCAAATGGTTGTATTTTTGTATAATTGAACTACTTTAACATCCGTTTTTTTTTTTAGATGTAATGGAAAATTATTTTAACTACAAAAATACAATCTCAAGTAAAACAACAGCTACAAGGCGAACTTGAAATGTGAAACACATTAGAGAAACCGAATCCGAAGAAACGGGAGCCTTCATGTAATTGCAGAAATGAGATTTTGAAAAGTTAAAAGCCCTTTCGTCTCAAGATGCAAGTTTTATATTGATTTCTTCAATTGAGAGAAATTTTTTTGGCCAATTTGAAAATTTAAAAGCAGGAAAACATTGGCCAGTTTAAAATTGTGAAAGAAGAAACGCATCAGAAAAAAAAAAATCATTATTGAGATGAAGCATTTAAATCTTTAAAACAAATAAACAATGTTCAAATAATGTGCAATTGATCGATATTTAAAGCTTTTAAAATGAATCAACATTGGTTAGTTATCATATACAATTAAATTTCTATTCTTATAAACTCAATGAACGTTGGCAATCTTAAATTTGTAAAAATATATTCAAATTTTATTTTTTATTTATTTCCTCACAGTAAGCCAATTTAAGCTTGTAATAATTGTATAAGATTTTAATTGAACGAATTATATTTTCCTTACTTTTGATTAAGTAATTAAAGATGCAAACAGTAAAAACGTAAGTCAATATTTTATTATTTACTTTTTTTCCAAATTGATTTTTTAAACTCACGTCGAATTAAACTATTAGCTTATTTAGATTTAAACATAGAAATTATTTTGTTGTCAATTTTTTGTGCGAACACAATCACTGCATTTTCTTTCAGTTAAATAATACGAATTCAATCGTTAATCCTCAAATAGATTGAAAACATTTCTGAAACGACAAATGCTTTGATTTTTTACTACTAATGCGAAAGAAAAAAATGTAAATTTATTTCTCTTTGTTTAGTGTACTAAAAATTTTGCTTCAGTTTTTTTTACGAATTATTTCAAATACATTGTTGTTTGTCAATTGAACTGCGCACAACTTTAACAACGACGAAGAGATGCCTGAAAGAAACTCTGAGGACTTTACCCCTCTATCAATAATCCCCCCCCCCCTAAATCCCCGTATGATTGCTTAATTCACAAGTCCCGTGTTCGAATCCCGGGGCAGATGAGGCTCATTTGATGTAGACAGCAGCAATTCTAGGAGAGATAACTTCTAAATCAAACAACTACTGCATAGTATATTTCTCTTGGTGGGACAAAGACTATAGAATCAAATCTAAAAAACAAGACAAAAAAAAAATGAATTCGCATCGAAGGCGTATACGGGACATAAAATGTTGATTGGACTTTATTACTTAATAGTGTTCTAGGAAATATATTCCAATATTAAATTTAACGACGAAAAAAAAAAAACGAGTTTGTTTTTAATACGTGCCAGAAAAATTTAGTACAATATTTTCATCATTGTAAATATTTAATTAGAAATTGATACACTACCAGCTTTTGATAACAATTTGACTCAACATTAGTTCACTAGAAAAATGAACTACTAAAAAAAACTGGGCCTTTTTCTCATCTGTAATTAAAAATGACGTCTAGACTTATAATTATGTAAATTAAAGTAACAAGAAAATCTTCATCAACCACGACTAACTATAATTTCCTAGGAGGAAATAAATTAGACGCTTGGACTGAAAGCTTTAGATCATGAAAGATTATGTGGTATCATTTTTCTAGAATCTGACAGGAGACTTTCAAAGATAAGGGTGTGTTTGGTTAGTTGGTGTTGTCATTTCAAGTGTTATTTTAGGACCAGGTAATGGCTATAAGGGATTGGGTAAGGGATTGGGCTAGTGATTGGCTTAGGGATTGGGCCAGTGATTGGGTTAGGGATTGGGTTAGGGATTGGGTTAGGGATTGGGTTAGGGATTGGGTTAGGGATTGGGTTAGGGATTGGGCAAGGGATTGGGTAAGGGATTGGGCTAGGGATTGGGTTGGGGATTTGGTTAGAGATAGGGTTAGAGATTGGGCTAGGGATTGAGTAAGGGATTGGGTTAGGGATTGAGTTAGGGATTGAGTTAGGGATTGGGCAAGGGATTGGGTAAGGGATTGGGCAAGGGATTGGGTAAGGGATTGGGCTAGGGATTGGGTTGGGGATTTGGTTATACATAGGGTTAGAGATTGGGCTAGGGATTGAGTAAGGGATTGGGGTAGTTATGGCCTAAGGGTGACGTCAGAGATCATCGTCCTTCTGCATATAATTGATTGGGAATTCCCGTTTCTAGTAATAGAGTTAGTGACAATTCCCTTGAGTGAGTTGGACTTGTTCTGTGTTTATGCTCGTGTTAGATGGGGGGGGGGGGGGGGGGGGAATAAAGATGTATGGGAGTCCGAATATTGGACCAAGGAAATCTCGTTTATTTGCACGTGTATTGCTGAGCGATAAGTATGGGTTAAGGGCAAATTACGGGTAAATATAACTGACAGTTAACTTGATGGTTAATTAGTTTTTATGAAATTATAGATCTTTGAATTAATTGCGTTGGCAACAGTCGTTATGACGTTGGCAGATGTGTAATATGCTAGACACATCTGTAATACCCCAGATACATATGTAAAATCCCAGACTCATCTATAATATCCCAGAAACCTATGCAATATCCCAGACCAGTGGCGTCGCTAGGTCGGGTGTCACTCCTACCCTGGTCATTAACTGACTTATAAGTTATTGACAATATTCAAATAAACTTTTTATTTCCTCTGTAAATTTAGCAGTTGGTATCACCCCCTCGCGTGAAAGCTTTAAAGTGTGCAAAGTTAATAGTAACGATGTTTAACCATAGTCGGTTATTAATATAGCTGGATGCAGAGGCGTCGCGAGATGGGGGCGGGGGGCGCGGACCGCACCGGGTGACACCATTTAGGGGGAGGGGTGACGAAAGACAAAAAATTTCAAGATATATAAAATGAATATGTTTTTGCCAGTTCAATGAATGGTTCAATAGAGTTAAAATGTATTTTAAGTACATAATGATTCTGACAATTGAGGGGGGGGGGGGGGTTGACACTATGACATAAACATGCAAACTATACTTTACAGCTTTTACCGGTGAAAGGGGGGGGGGGCGGGGTTGACACCGAGAGCAAGATTTACAGAAAGATATAAAAAGGGAGGGGGGTGTGACACCATGAGGTGCCGCACCGGGTGACGCCCGACTAAGCCACGCCACTGGCTGCATGTAGCATTGTGTTTTCTCTATAGTTAGCCTTTTTACGTCATAGTGTCGTCGCCCCCCCCCCCCCCCCCCCCCCCACTCACTACTTGTCGGGATCGTGAATTTGTACTTAACATACTTTTAAACTCTCATTCATTATCAATTTAACTAGCGAAAAGCATTTTCTTCTATATACATTTTTTTTGTGTCATCCCTCGAACACCCTCCCACATCTCGCCTCGCGACGCCTCTGTCCCAGACACACACAACATACATACGGTACATACACCGCAGCCAGCGTACACACACACACACCATACATACGGTACATACACCGCAGCCAGCGTACACACACACACACCATACATACGGTACATACACCGCAGCCAGCGTACACACACACACACCATACATACGGTACATACACCGCAGCCAGCGTACACACACACACACCATACATACGGTACATACACCGCAGCCAGCGTACACACACACACACCATACATACGGTACATACACCGCAGCCAGCGTACACACACACACACCATACATACGGTACATACACCGCAGCCAGCGTACACACACACACACCATACATACGGTACATACACCGCAGCCAGCGTACACACACACACACAACATACATACGGTACATACACCGCAGCCAGCGTACACACACACACACCATACATACGGTACATACACCGCAGCCAGCGTACACACACACACACCATACATACGGTACATACACCGCAGCCAGCGTACACACACACACACCATACATACGGTACATACACCGCAGCCAGCGTACACACACACACCATACATACGGTACATACACCGCAGCCAGCGTACACACACACACACCATACATACGGTACATACACCGCAGCCAGCGTACACACACACACACCATACATACGGTACATACACCGCAGCCAGCGTACACACACACACAACATACATACGGTACATACACCGCAGCCAGCGTACACACACACACACCATACATACGGTACATACACCGCAGCCAGCGTACACACACACACACCATACATACGGTACATACACCGCAGCCAGCGTACACACACACACACACCATACATACGGTACATACACCGCAGCCAGCGTACACACACACACACACCATACATACGGTACATACACCGCAGCCAGCGTACACACACACACACCATACATACGGTACATACACCGCAGCCAGCGTACACACACACACACCATACATACGGTACATACACCGCAGCCAGCGTACACACACACACACCATACATACGGTACATACACCGCAGCCAGCGTACACACACACACACACCATACATACGGTACATACACCGCAGCCAGCGTACACACACACACACACCATACATACGGTACATACACCGCAGCCAGCGTACACACACACACACCATACATACGGTACATACACCGCAGCCAGCGTACACACACACACACCATACATACGGTACATACACCGCAGCCAGCGTACACACACACACACCATACATACGGTACATACACCGCAGCCAGCGTACACACACACACACACCATACATACGGTACATACACCGCAGCCAGCGTACACACACACACACCATACATACGGTACATACACCGCAGCCAGCGTACACACACACACACCATACATACGGTACATACACCGCAGCCAGCGTACACACACACACACCATACATACGGTACATACACCGCAGCCAGCGTACACACACACAACATACATACGGTACATACACCGCAGCCAGCGTACACACACACACAACATACATACGGTACATACACCGCAGCCAGCGTACACACACACACACCATACATACGGTACATACACCGCAGCCAGCGTACACACACACACACCATACATACGGTACATACACCGCAGCCAGCGTACACACACACAACATACATACGGTACATACACCGCAGCCAGCGTACACACACACACAACATACATACGGTACATACACCGCAGCCAGCGTACACACACACACACCATACATACGGTACATACACCGCAGCCAGCGTACACACACACACAAACGAGCAGGTAACAACCGACTAGTGATTTCACGTGCGACACGTGCATTAGTTACTCACCTGCTGAAGAGGTCGATGTTGAAGAAGACGTACTCCCCATTATCAAAGTTGAGCTCGTGGGCCTTGATCATGATCTCACGCACAGAATCAGGACTGGCGCACAGGACGATAACTGAAACAGGTAAATAAAAACAACAGGTAAGTATTAACTTGCAGGGGAAATAGGTAGGAAAATATTACAATACAATTCATTTTTATTTTAAAAATAAGTTAACGTTTCTAACGTGGATACAACAGATAGGTAAATGTTAAGATAGAAAAGGAAAAGTTGAAATACATTTTTTTTAGGTAATATCAAATGACAGGTATTGTTGATTAAAAAGATTGGTAAATATGGAAGTACAGAAGTACAGCGGTAATGTTGAAAAAAAATAATGTGTATATATCAGTTGACAGAAGAAATGTTGATTAAACAACATTGTAAATATCAGATTACAAAGGACATGTTCATAAAAACTTGACGAATGTTACCATATAGAAGAAGTTTACAATTTTTTTTATTGGTAACGCAGATGAAGGAGTAAGAAACATATTATTAAGTTATGAGGTTGATATAAAACAGTGGTAAATATCAAATAACAATGGTAATGGCAATACTTTTACTTTATAAATATCAAACTAAAATTTACATTATTGATAAAATACGAACTATACATTTATAACCAAAATGTAAAAAAAAAACAGCTTGATAAGTAATGATTTTACAGCTGAAAATGATAAAATGTTGGTAAAATTGCTTCTATTTCGAAGATGCCAATTGATGATAAAACAGGAAGCATAAATAACAATTGTATTACTTTTGTTTACATACTGATTGGTACAGTAAGATTATAAATGCCAGTTAACAAAAAAAAAATGATATGAAAACCTTTAACATATGCAATGTTAACAGTTTAATCAAACAGAATGGTGGATGTCAATTTTAATCAAAATCGTAGCTAAAACAAGCTAGTAAAACATCAATTTTTTAAAAAGTTGACAAAGTACTAGTTACGTAAAAAAAATCTTTAAATTGATAAAACTACATTGAATAATCAATACATTAAAAGAATTAGAACAATAATTTACAAACATAATTAATATTGTTATGTTCGACATAACGGATAAAATATTCAAGAAAAAATTGACCCACTTTATTTCTAAATAATAATGTGGGTCAATTTAAAAAAAAAACACAACCTTTAATTAATTTTTGTTTGCGTTTTAGGTTACGGAATAGCAAGAAAAAGAAAACAATTCTTAAAGAAAAACAAATTCTTCAATTTTTTTTTCTTTTTCAAAGTTACTCAGCAGCCAAGAACGACAACAAGAGAAGATAACGTAGCTTCTTTATCGCCCCCAAGGAAAGATAACTCGGTCACTACGTAAAACCCAAACGACTACCGTAGAATACGAGATTGCGTCTCTTGGTTTGTCTACATGTCAATGGCCACCGGAAGTGACCGGGGTGGCCAGGAAAAACAGAGCAATATTGGCCGAGATAGCTGGCTATGTCTCAGATCAAAGGGGCATTGGGGAAAAATTTAGGTCAATATGTCTGCCTTAACGGTCGCGTTTGATGTTCTACCAGAGGATCGGGGTGTTAGTCCGAGATATTTTATTAATGTGTAATCTGACAAATTGTGAATCTTAGCGTTAGTTCAAGATATTTTATTAATGTGTAATCTGACAAATTGTGAATCTTAGCGTTAGTTCAAGATATTTTATTAATGTGTAATCTGACAAATTCTGAACCATAGTTTTAGTGTAAGATATTTTATTAATGTGTAATATGACACATTGTGAATCAGTGTTAGTCGAAGCTATTTTATTAATGTGTAATTTGACAAATTATGTTTCAACATAATATTGCCTTTCGCTCTAAAAATCCTATATCAATATTGAGTATAACAGAACAATTAGAGACGAATGGTTAATTATTTTAAGGAAAGACCCGGAAAGACAAAGAAAATAGACAAAAAGGTGTTCAAAACATTTCTCTTAATTAAAAGACATATTAAATTACCAAGAAACCCGATGTCGCTGATTAAAAGAGAAGGGTTGTGCGCGGAGGTACAAGAGGGACGATATAAAAGTAATTTGATGACGTCAAAAAATAAGCGTAATGCCACATCAACGTGTGTATTTATCGCTCACGGGTTTTAACAAAGACAAAACTATAGCTACTTATACTTCAGATACACGAATAAAGCTGGATAATTATTTTTTGCGACATCCATAGTATGAAATGATATTTACTAAATGAAAATTTATAGAAGTCTAGTTCAGTTTTTTGAATCCTCATAAATCCAATAAGCCTGTTTGTGAGTGAATTTATAGCTCTGCTCTGACTAGGTGACTTAGGGCTCTATATTTGGGACTTTCGATGAAGAATTGTTGAAGTTTTAATGGATGACCTTGACTTTAGCTGGAATGGCCTTGCGAAAGATGACCTGAAATGGTTTGATCTTACGCATGATGACTTACCATGGGATGTACTTAACTGAGTCGTTTTCAAATGAGATGACCTTAACTGGGGTGTCCTTGAAAATAAAATGACCTTATAATGTATGCCCAAAATGGGATAAACTTAAATGGGATGCTTACATAGTAATGACCTTATTATGTTCGCCTTTTAATAGGATGACCTTACATGGGAGACTTTTAAAAAATGGGATGACCTTACATGGGAGACTTTTAAAAAATGGGATGACCTTAAATGGGATAATCTCAAGCGGGAAGACCTTCTTGGTTTGGGATGACTTTAAATAAACTCTTTTGGAACGAATCTCCATCCCAGAGCGAGCGTCTAGCATGTGAATAGCCCTTAATTGTGTTCCTGATGTGAACACGCCCGTCAAGGATATTAACCAAACATTTTGAACAGGGGCATCCCACTGCGAGCAGGTTATTCTGGATTTTATCTCACAAATCGATTGAGGACAATACCACCCCACCCCTCCCCCTCATCCCAACACACACTCGATTTCCATGAAATTATTTTTTTTTAAAATTCTGATTTTCAAGAAGATTCAAATAGAAACATTTTCAAAGTTATTTTCTAAATTTCAGCGCGTATATGCCAAGAACATCCTACACATTGCGAAAAAAAGAAGTTTGTATATCTCATTTGTATGTAAAAAGGAACATAAACGGTTGAAAAAATTATTTGTTTTAATTCAATGAAACTAACGTAAGACGCATAGAGTTATTAATACAAGGGAAGAAAGTGGCACATACCGTTCAACATAATCATAGAATTGTTAGGTTGTTGATGTAGATGATAAGAATAATAATAAAAAAAAACACTTAATAATTCAGATGATAACTAGAATGTATAAAGTGGTCCCCCCCCCCCCCACTCCAACACCCAAGCATGCAGAAACACGTTTTTTTTCTATAATTATTCGTAAAGAAGTTTGAAAAATACAAATTATTTTATTTACGTTCGAACTGTGAATCTCAAACTGTGAATCTCAGTTTATCTAGAGATATCGTGTTGTTGAATTCATGCCTATACTTTAAATTTTTGATGAACACAAGTAGAGTATGCAGGCCCACGCTGCCTGCGTTGTTTAGAAAACTCAATTTAATTACATTTCTTGAAGCATCGTCGTATAAAACTATACTATGGTCATCAATCTGAGACGAACAACATCAATTTAGAGAAGAGACGCGGCTTGCTTGTTCATTTCCACCCCCTCCAACCTCCTCTACACCAATACCCCCTCCCCCATCTCTTTCAAAGTTTGCTTGTATTGTTCCGCCTAATCCCCGATCCTACTTTTTATTCCTTTCATGTCTACGCCTTCATCTCTCGCCCCTGAAAGCGAAAACCGGATCTTCGGATGGCGCGACTAAGCCTCTATCTGTATTAATCCTGTGTACGCTGGGGGTGTTGAAAAAAAAATACAGCACCAGCCTGCTAATCCTAACACGGGAAACGGAAAGATATCCATAGATCCCGTACAAAGATGGGATAGAACGTGTGAATTATCTCAGAAAAACATTCTGTAAACTCAATCTTAGAAGGAAGCGTAACAACAAACGAAGATTTTTTTTTTTAAAGTAATTGATTCTTTCCGTCCTATTCCACATTGGCATGTGGCAGATTGATGCTTTTTGCTTAGCTTGAATTGCTAAACATAAAGTAAATCATTCCCGCTCTCGACAATTATGAAATCGGCATGCTAATTATTTATTATTTATTTTGCATAAAATTAACACAATATAACGACAAAGATTCACTCTGAATGATAATAAACTAAAAAAAAATTTAGAATATTAATTACGAACATTTTAAATTATTATGAAGGTAAATCTCAAGAGAAATCGTATAACATTTCACCTTATATTTTTAAGTTAATTTACAATTAATGTTTATAATTAGTTAACTTTAAACAAGGAGGGAATTTTTTTCAACTTTTTACCGTAAATTAACATTGTTTTGTTTTTAATCCCATCGGTGAATAGAAAACAAAAACATTCATAAAGGAAAAATTTGAAAAAAAAAGACGGGATAGAGATTAGACAGGCTTTTTATGTTATCAAATTAATACAAGACATTTTTTTTAATAATTAAAAATAATGATAATAATTATCTTCCAACAGATCCCCATCCCCCTCCCCCCCACACAAACACGAGCAGTGTGACGTCTATCATAACGTCATTAATACTCAACCAACCAGAGAAAGTCGATAGAACTAAAAAAGGTCATTATTCAAAATTTTGTAACTTTAGTTGTCTAGTATAAATAACTCATATTTTTTAACTCAAGGGACATTACTGAAAATCAAGAAACATAACTAATGCACGGGCAATCGGGAAAATCCAGCACTTTCATTGAAACATATTAGGTTTAAAAAAAAATTTAATCTCTTCAATTTAAACGTAAAAAAAAAACCAAAAAAAAAAAAAAAGAAAAAAAAAATTATTGGGAAAACCAGAGCCTGAATTGCTAATTGTTTTCATTTACACGTCGACATGAGAATATCACTCGTCTGAAATAGGTTGTAAGGATCGTAGCCCTAGGAACAAACTTTAGCAAATTTGGTCAACACATTACTAGACCAATCAAAACATACATTGATTGTAAGTCTAAGTAAAAGTTTAGTAAAAGGGTTCAACACATG